CCCGCGTCTCCTGCATCGGCAGGCGGACTCTCAAGCACTGCGCCACCAGGGAAGCCCCTACTCATATTTTTTAAAGATAAAAGTAAAAGAAATTTAAAACTTTTATTTTTTTATACATACATATTTTTTCATGGTGTAAAAAGGCCAACTTCTTAAAATTCAGAGTTCTTCGACAGACATACAGCAATACCAAATGTTTTATTTCCCAGTAAAAGAGAACTAAATCTAAGTTCCTTTTCCAGAAGAGCAGACAAGGCTACATCGTTTTTATTGTGTAACCTTAATTAAAATCACCAGTAGTTAAGCATGGCCTTTAACTACACTTAGTAACATATGATTACCTATGCTCTGAACCCATCACTAAGTTGTTGGTACCAACAAGTCACTGAAGTATTTTAACTCTTCATTTAAAATTATTTATTTGGGGGGAAAAAAAACCCACGAATAATACATTTCCTAAACCCAGCAGCTAAATTTAAAAGAAAAAAAAAAAAAAGCATGAGAAGCATAAGAAGATGCAAGTCATTCGTTTCCACACAACTGGAGTATCTGCAGCCACCCCTGGTACCCGCAGAGACTGGTTCCAGGGCCGGCCGGGGATGCTCGAGTCCACAGATGCTCGAGTCCCACAGCTGCCCTGCACAGACTGTGCAGTTCTGTCAGTTTACTGAAAACAATCCGCCTATAGCGGGCCCACACGCTTCAAACCCACGTTGCTCAAGGGTTCAGGGTAATCATAATAAACTCTCTCATGAGCAGCGTAACAGACACTATCAATGCTTCCTTTTCCAAATCCCCCAAATCACTGAACATAATAACACACTGAAAGATAACCTGGAAATAAACTTTCGTCCAAAAGTTGAGCTTTGAGTCCTTCACAAAAAATATTTTTCTGATTAGTCATAAACATTAGAGTGGCTACTTGGTATGTGAGATAGGTAACTCCCAAAGACTATTTGTTTTTCTCAATTACGATAACAAGGGAGTCACCAGGTTTCAAATGTATTGCCTGAATTCTGAATTTAGAGCATCCAACCACTGATTCAAAGTCATATCTTTGCCTCGTGATGCAAGTGCCTAGCGCTTGCCTCAGGAGCTAGATAGTAAAGTATTCAACAGACTTTATTAACAAATCTTCAAAAGGCCCATAATGATCCCTAAAATTCAGACAGGAAACTCATGACAAGATGCTAAGTGATACTCGCTGCATGTGTAGCTTTTCTAAGCAGCCCTGCTAAGTTTCAGAGCTGAAACAAACAGAAATGACTGCCTAGAGGGGCTCCAGTTCACAGGCCTCCCAGGGCTTCTGTATTCTGTCTCGTCATCACACAAGGCTGGAGGCTCTGAGCGGCCAGTTCTGTGATGGCCTGGATGGCCCTGGGACTGAGGCCAAGGCGCACGGGGCTGCCCCGATAAGGTTCTCTTCTGGCTGATTCTGAACTCTATACGATTAAGGGCCCACAGATCAACCTCCACTTTCCTACAAGAAGGAGAACCAGAAAGAGACTTCTCATCCTCAGCCTCTTGCACAATAACTAAGTAAGCAACCTTCTGATCTTGCTCTGGACAGGTAAAAGAAAACTCACAGGAAGAAGAAAAAAAAAAAAGTTCAAAATCCCCACTGCTGCATGGAATAACAGGCTGATTTTGATTGTGTTATATAGGTATACGAAATCAAGCAGGGCATTCTGCAAAAGATGTATAACTTCCCACATCACTTCTTCACTTTTCATCTGATGAGACGAAATACATTATTGTATTCCGCCCTCCACTCCCCATCCGTCTAGACTGAGGAAATACTTAGGATGGTTTCTTGGGGAAGGAGAAATATAAAATGACTCACATCAACGAAAAAAATGAAGAAAATCACACCCAGCCTCAGTCTCCTATCACAAATGACGCCCTCGTCGTGACATGGGCCTTTTGTCCATTTTCCATTTTGGAAACTTTTCATTTCAAAAACTTATCCGACCCCAAGAACCACCAGCGGGGCTTGGTGAAAGTTCAGAGTCCCTGCTCCTTCCAAAGCTAGTCAGCATTTTCAGGGGGCAGGGCCTAGGACTCTGCCCCTGCAGCAAGCAACCAGGTGATTTCTACGATGAGATGAGTTAGAAAAGCACACTGATCTTGAGACTATGCTCGTCTTTTTTAAAAGTTCCGCTCCGATTTTTCCTTTGCGAGTCCCTCAGGAAGTAGCGCATATCTCGAGATAAAACCCAGTCTCCTCTGCCGGCTGGCCTTTTAGAGTGGCTAAATAATACAGGAAAGTTATCCTGCAGTTCCTAGCAGTTAAATCATCCTGAGGGTTCATGGGTCTAAGCCATTCCCTTAAGCGGACGACGTTAACTCTAAATTTCAATTATTTGAAACACTGTGCTTACTATCTAGAGACTTCGCAAGGTCGATCTTGTCTAGCATGTTCTAATCAAAGACCTGTACCAATGAGAACAGCTCCATCTAAAATTCAAAAGAATGAAACGTCAGAAAGAGCCTCTTGAGCATGAGACAAAAAGAAAACAAAGTGGACGTGGGTTTGTGTATTTCTTCCACCAGCTATATCCCTGTGTGTCACAGAGGACAAGGCTGCTGAGTGGATGAACCAAGGTATATGAACGAATGGCGTATGCGTCAGTGAGACAAACAGAAATGGTATCACACAATTCAGCAGTTTTAGGGGAGAGGAAACAATTTTTTTCAGGTCTAGAAATTACCTGCTGGAAAACCTTCACCAGCCTTGAACCTGAATTGACGACTGACACTTAAATTTATGTTTAAAAGAGGAAAGGCAAATCCTGAGAGGCCCACAAAAGCACAGAGTGAGGAGGACGAAACGGAAGCTGAGGTGGTGCTTCAGGGGTGACAGCAGCTGGGACCCACGAGGTGACGTGACCCCCCTCCCAGCGTGGGCTCAGAGCGACGCCACGTACAGCACACTCAGGGCCCAAATTCACAAGCACAACGACCACACAAGAAAGGAGAGGAGAGCTCAGGTTGGGGGAAGGCAAAACCCAGTGGAAACAGGATGAAGAAGAGTGGAGGGATGCACGTGCAACGTGTCATGCAGGGACCCCGGGGAGGGCGAGGGCAACACTCGTGGGGACAGAGGACCAGTGAGAGGGAGACACAGCTCGGCCACAGAGACAAACCGCTTACCCTCCGCTTTGGTGGCAGTGCCATCTTTAAGCAAATTAAAAAACAAGGGAAGGGACAACAGGGAACAGTTAGTCGCATCAAAAAAATTAAAAAGCAGAATGTTATCATTGGCTACTAAAGAAGCAAAAGTACAGTTTAAAATAAAATTAAAAGGGAAACAAGTTCAACGGCAAAGCAGAGTTGAAGCAAGTAAGTGGTGCACCTTCTACCGAAATCAGCTTAGGACAATGTGCTTCTGCCTGCAGAAGACAAAACACGAAAGGGCAGCCCAGGGTCACACCTCAGCTGACAGACTGACTGTGTTTCTGATGTGGCCCAACCTCATCCTCCGAAGAGTCCCCTGTTTTTTGGAACAAAGCACCAGCAGAATAAGGGCGGGGGGGGGGGCGGGGAACTAAAGGACACCCAAAGGACAGAGGCAGTCAGTGAGCAGCTCCGAGAAGCTGGCTGCAGCAAGGCCTGTCCCAGCCACACAGCGAGCAGCAAGACCGTCCAGCTCGGTACCTGAGTCAGGGCCTAGGGGCTCTGTGTCTCCCCTCACGCGTCTGGACTCTAGAAATTTGGAAAAGGATCATGAGCTTTAACGCTACACTCCTCACAGACGTAACGTGTCAACCTCGGTAGTACTTGTAACTGCTCCTCCGAAGGGTTATATCTGGGGGCTGATTTTTTTGGTTCTTGCTGACTTGGACATCAGGAAAGCAGAGGTCAAGCTCTCAGGAAATGCTGGGAGAATGGGGAATACTCCAGTCTTGTCATTCGAAGAGGTAACACTGGGCTGAAAATTTATCATCAGCGCTTCTAAAAGGTCATTTCTGTGTCATCAGACCAGAAGACCCAAGTGCCTTGACTAGCGCCAAGCGGAGTCCACAGGGTCCATATTAAAATAGCTCAATCATGCACCGAAAAACAAGCACTGCTGTAACTTTACTCAGGTTTTCAAGCAATGAAACAAACACTAACTACAGATTCTCAAGGTGGATCAGACGGAACTAAAATGAACAGAAAGCCTTCCCACCTGACTTCTCTCTTGGTAAGCACACACCAACATGGGATCCTAAACACGCCTACGTGATCTTGTAAGAGTTAAATAAACAAGAGAAAAGGAGAGCCCTTACTGGGCATCTTCCCAATCTCAGTGAGGCATTTCTGTAGAGAAAACAAGACTGACTTAACAATGTCCCACAACATACACCTTACCTTTTAAATTAATAATGTTCCTATCACAACCGCAGTTTCCTTCGCCGTATAGGATAATGGTTGACGAAGGACTTTTATATAATGTCATCTGTCCCTACCCCGTGTCTGAATTACGTGGCTATTATTACAACTCATTTATGGGTAGAGGAAACACAGCCTGGTCAGGGTCACTGAGCGACTCAAGGTCGGTCGGGCCTGGTAACCTCCTCTCGGTGTTCTCTCGCTCTGCTTCCATGCTTTCAGAATATTAGCTGTAGGACTGACTTTGGAATTAGTCTGTAAACCACACAAGTAATAAGTCTCGATGTTTCATGAAGTTTGAATTGTATTCGTTTCCTTAAGATCCAAAATAAAATGGATCCAGCGAGGTCTCCAGACTTTGGCTTTGAACAACTCTGCTTTCACAAAAGCAAACTCAAACTATCAGCCTTACCCCCAGTAGATGTGCAGCGTCTGCTGAAAAACTGACCTAGCATTCTGTCAGATATTCTTTTGAAAATAATCTTTTTACTCTTCCGGGCTTTCATCGGAGTAGGTACCCGCTCCTCCCAAGGTGACACGGGGAAGGAAGACACCCTTCTGTACAACAGGCGATGTGGTTGCTGAGTCCCTCCACAGCTCCTCCGGAGCGCCCCCCGCCACTTCAGGCTCTCCACCCAGGTCAGGAGGGGAGGAAACCCAGCCCTGGCCACACAGGAGGAGGCTGGGCAGCCGGGAAGGGGCACGGGGCACTGAGGCATGCGTCCCTGACCAGGGTGACGCCCCAGAAGCAGGGACACCCACCAAAGGGTGGCTGCAAACCAGCGGCCAGCATGGAGGTCAGCGTGCAGGTCAGCGCCCAGACGCACGTACTCTGAAAGGTCAGCCCTGCAACCGCCTCAACTCCAGTTCCTGGTAATTTGCTACACGGATGGACTGGAGCAGAGGTTAAGGGTCATCTCGAACGGCAGACTCGGGGGCAGGGTCGCGGGGCTGGTTACCTAAGGAGGCGTACGAGCCCGGAGGCAAGGCCGCTGCGGAGCTGAAGGGCGCTGCACCGGGAGCCGAGGGGACCTTGGATTTGGCGCTGGCGGCTGCGTTCACGTCTATGTCACTTCGAGAGCGCTGCAGGGACCCCGTGGTGGACACGGATTTGCTGCTGACGGTGGAAGCTGCGGGCGGAGGAGGGAACCTTAGCAACGACGGTAAGGGCCACGCGAGAATGTTAGACGTGCATCGCTGACGCATGCCCTGCTTCTCCTGAGAACAGGAGTCAAGCTCTGAAAAAGGCTGGAGCGCACAGCGCCGGCCAACAGTGTCCCCTGTTCGCTGGACACAGTTCAGCCAATGCTGCAGGAAGTGACAAGTGGCCGCAGCTCCACGAGCCCCCGTCATCAGAGACCATAAACCTCACAGAAATGGACCACGTTTCCAGTTCGCGTGAGCAGCGAAGTAATGAAAACTCGATCGTGTCTGGCCAGGGTGGCAGGAAGGCACACCCCGAGCTGGACGCTCCCCTTCTCTGGAACATCCCCTACTGTCCTCCCACAGCCATCAGCTGCCTGCTGCTAGGAACATCCCGAGCGGCCCCCGCTCACCCGGCAAGTGCGCAGAGCACAGGGGCGCCCCCCGCGGCAGCTCTGTGGGCGAGGACAGGTCTGCCGGCCCGGTGGGAGCACGGGGCACGGCGGGCCCTCCGCAGACCCTTCCAGCCGCTGCTCAGCCCTCCCCAGGCTCAGGGCCTCCCCCGCAGCGCCGGCCTTACCTCTGGAGGTGGCACTGCCAGTAGGGCTTCTCTTGGCGGAGAGCGGCCGACTGGAAATAAAGGGACACGTCTGTCTATTATCAAAGGTGCACTGTATCTGCATTGATACAAGTACAATCTACAGTGGGAGAATATGATAATAAAGAACTGCTTCAGGCTTCCCAGAATTCTTATAAACCCCCGATTTCGGAAAAGCTTTAGCATTGTATCTTGGACTATCTTTCAAACACACAGAGGGAAGTCTTAAACAGCAACAGGGATCAGAGGTACCGAGAGAAGATGGCAGCACGTTCAGTCCCAGGGTTTGAAAGTCCTCCCTTTCCAGAGCTGTCTCCAAGTTAACACTTCTATTGTCTTAGAAGACACCCTGAACAACTCGCTTGTGTTACTCCAAAACTGTGTTCCAGGAATG